AAGGTTGATGGAAGTTTCTTCAAGGGCCTTCAGGGCTTGATCTTGAATGTTGATGGATGAGGTCGTTGATCCAAAGGGCCGTTGGGGCTTGATCTTAGGATGAACGGATGATGAATGATGAACACTTTCTTCAAGGGCCGTCGGGGCTTGATCTTGAATAATGGTTGTGTGGATTTCTTCAAGGGCTTTTGGGCTTGATCTTGAAGGTTGATGGATGAGCGGATCTTCAAGGGCTTTTGGGCTTAATCTTGAAGAACGATTGGATGTGTGGATTTGTTGAGGTTGTTGATCCAAAAGGCCGTTGGGGCTTGATCTTAGGATGAACGGATGATGAACAATGAACACTTTCTTCAAGGGCCGTCGGGGCTTGATCTTGAGTTGGTAGAAGTTCTTCAAGGGCCGTTGGGGCTTGATCTTGAAGGATGATTTGACGAAGAATGAAGAGGGCTTTCTTGATCCTTCGGGATTTTCTTGAGAGCTTTAGAACTTTAAGGCTTCAAGGTTTTGGTGTGTGGGTTTGTTGATGTTGTTGATCCAAAGGGCCGTTGGGGCTTGATCTTAGGATGAACGGATGATGAATGATGAACACTTTCTTCAAGAGCCGTCGGGGCTTGATCTTGAGTTGGTGGAAGTTCTTCAAAGGCCGTCGGGGCTTGATCTTGAAGGAGGATTTGACGAAGAATGAAGAGTGCTTTCTCCATTCTTCGGGATTCTTGGGAATTTGGGGGTTGGATGCTTGAGAGCTTTAGAGTTTCAAAGCTTCAAGGATTTTGGATGTGTGGGGAGTATTCTCTTCCATTTTGGGAGTAGAGAAATGTATTTGTGAATTGGTTGATGCTTGATACCTTGATGGAGAAGCCTATTTATAAGCTTTGAGAATGAATCACCACCACAAAAATATTTTTTTCCTTTCCAAGCACCATTGCCTAATTTTCCCACTTAATGCAATATTGAAATTGAAGTGGTGTAACTTATGGCCTAATTTCCCACTTAATACCATTTTAAACTTGAAGTGGTGTAACTTATGGTCTAATTTCCCACTTAATACCATTTTAAACTTGAAGTGGTGTAACTTATGGCCTAATTTCCCACTTAACACCATTTTAAACTTGAAATGTGTATGCTTTGTCATTGCCCAAATGAGAAAAACTTGTTTTGATCCTCAATGGATTGAAATGTACTTGCCTTGTCATTGCCCAAAATGAGAAGAAAAACTTGTTTAATCCTTCAAGGGTATTTCTTCCTATTTTGTTGAGTCACACGCCATGTGTACAATTTGTACAACACGTGGTGTATGCCATGTATGCCTTGACACGTCAAAACTTTAATGCATTGGTGAACATTTGTTTTACTGAAATTTCAATGTCTACAGGCACAATATCTCGTAAATAAGGGCATGACATCCATAATCACAAAATCTCACATAAGCAACATATCATATCGAGTGCTCATCTCCACATGCTAACACACGAGTTCATGCAGAGGTATTCTGACATGAACAGGACTGGATGTAATAATAATATACGCTCTAGTACTACAATCATGTGAAGACTGGCGCTATACGTAGCATATATGAGTCGGAGTTGCCTACGGCAACCTGTACGACAGGACTAGCATCTACAATGGATCCAAAGTAAGCGTATGATGCGATGTGCACATACACGTGAAAGACTGGCCCAGGCCCAGGCGAGTATCGACGCTAGTGCAGCAAATGATGAACAGATAACAGCAATATAGTCATGCCACAACCACTCAACAATTCTAATCAATATTGTACTATTCATGACCATAAATATAATCAAGGCATCTCCTTATAGTAAGCTTACCTGTGCATCCCGTAGGATTATTTCATCATTTCCCAACAATAAGGTATTTCTTATAAACATTAATTTAATCATGGCAATTGCATAAAGAATTTATTAATGCTTGTATATATGGAAACTAACCAATATATATATATATATATATATATATGTACAAAAAGAAAAGACCCACTCACATATCATGTCGCTGAGTCAAACCCGCCTCGTAGCATCGAGAGTCCTTGCAATGCATTTCACCTAGAAACGAAACCATTTAGGTAAATATAACGTGCTAATGAAATTACGCATTTTTGTACAAAGTACGGCTAATAAAAGGAACTATCCTAAATTGGTCGAATTTTGGAAAACGGACGGCGGATTCGGAATCAGCATGTCGAAATACAGTAAAGAGGGTCCCCATCAAGTTTTACAAAAAGTCAACGGTTAACCCTAAAAGTCAACCGATGTATATATTATCTAGGACAACTCACTAATCAATATAGGCTCACTAAGCCCTACATAGTCTCTAGTAATACTGATTTTAATATTTAAGATCAATTCGTAGCATATTATCCAAAAGTCTTCTATATCGAAAGTGAGATCCACAACCCTACATTAGTCAATCTAGAACATCCGTCCATGGATTTTCGATCTGTAACTTCCTAATGTCCATACTATGCTTTTAGAACAAAATACTAAAAATTAGAAATTCAATTCGGGAAGATCTGTATATTGGATTCCCAATCCGTATAGTTCCTAATGTCTACAAATATTACTTACTATCACGTATTAAAGTTTGGTGCCGATCCAATGGTTGGATCGTCTATTCATATTAAAACATCAGGATTTCACTAAACTGATGTCAATTATGGAATTGAGGCATCAAATTAGCCTAGGATGGTCAGGTGGAATGTCGGTCCACGCGGCGGCTGGCAGCCTTGACTCGCCGGAAAAATCAACTATTTCAAAAAATTACCAAATTTGACAGAAATGAAGATCTTAATGAGTAGAGAAAGTTTTATACCTATGGCTAAGGCCAATTTGGCCGGGAAAAGCTCCAATTCATCTTGAACCCGCCAGAAACCCTAAAAAGGGTGGCTTTCGATTCGACTTCTCTGGTGCTCCGCTACCTCCAAGGTTGTTTGGGATTTGTTCCTGGGCTCTATGAGAGTCTAATAGGGGTGGTGGTTGATGGAGTTTGCTTTAGGAATGGCGGATGGCCGCCATGAGGGCAAATCCTTCCCCTATCTCTCTTTTCTTCCTCCTCTCATCCGTCCCTCTCTACCTTCCTCTTCTCCACTCTTCATCACAGCCATCCACGTGGCTCAATCAGATTGCTCCAGAAAATATGGAGCCTTCTAGAGGGAAGGTTAAATTTACTAAAATGCCCCCATCTTTAAACGTTAATAACTCCTTAGCTAAAGCTCCAAATTACGTTCCGTTTATACTCACGTGTTTGTAGTGACGAGCACTACGAGGAAGCGCTTAAAGAATGTTTCCTACATCTCCCAATATGCTGGTAAACGAAAATTGACACCCTCGCCTCTAGGGGCATTTTTGTGAATTCACTCATTAAAAATTTATAAAAATGTAAAATTAGGGAAGGGTTGTTACATGCCAAGCCCTTTGGAACTAGGCAAGGCTAGGTGGTTTTTTTTTTCCTTTTAGTAGACTTATACTTAAAAATATATATAATTACATTCGAAAAAACACAAATTACAAAATAAAATGATATATAAATTACTAAATATTAGTACATATTGAAAAATGGAGAACAAGCGTATATTAAATGTTAATCAAAGTATCCAAGTCTTTTACAATTCATTAAAAACATATAAAATGCAAAATGCAAATTGAGAGTGGCGACTCTAAGCCATTCCTTAAATGAAAAAATAACAAAAAAAATGTCACTAAACCACCACCAACATATGTCCAACTAGTTTAGGAAGCTAGGCAGGCACCTAGACTAATCTAGATGCTCGTTATTTTTAGAAGCATAATAATTAATCACGACGATGACCAACTGCCTAATCATAGCTTTTAGAACATTGGTGGGTGTTTAGAGTCATACCCCCAATAAATACCATAACTTGTTATCACATAAAGCTCACATCTGGAATTTTTTTCTAAAATATAAGCTGTTATTTTTTTTTGTTGGGCACATGTAAATTCATTACCAACAAAGCAAGATTGCAAAAAATGAGGCCTAAATACAAATGCAAGCACGAGGCATAAGAATGAATCCTTACAAACAAAAGTCAGAACGTAATACAGGAGAAATTTTTTATCGTGGTCGAAATACGGGTGATACACCATGTGTTTTTATATAAATAGTGAGAAATTTTAATTTTTAAATGATTAACTTTTTAACATACATATGTCACCATTTGTATAATGACATGTGGTGTGCCATCATATGTACCGGTCACATTAAAAAATCTTTCTAAATATAAAAACTGGAGCCCACAACTGAAAAAACAAAACACAAAGAACCCTGGGAACTTGTGCTCTCCCTACTAACGCTGCCGCCTGAAATCCGAGCACTAAGGAAGAGACTGAAGCCTGGCCAATAACCACCAAAATAGCCGCCGTGGAGCCACCAAATTCAAAGTGGATCCGCAAAGGCCAAGGCACAGCCAAATCAACCCAAAAATGGCAAAGTATATCCACAGCCAAATCAAATCTCAAGTTTCATTGATCGAGATTGTCCAAAGCTGTAAGATGTAATTTTTGGTTAAGGGACAAGGGTGGGAAAGAAAACAATTGACATGGACTGATATGGAGGTTCGTGATGGAAAAATGGAAGGACTCGGGTGTGAAAAAGAACGCACAAAGTAAAAAGAGGAGTCCCAGGCCGCCAACTGTCAAAACGGTAATTGGAGAGAGAAACTGAAGAAGGGAGAGGACGAGACGGAAGACGGGGTGACAAACTGAAGCTGTTAAAATTCTCACAACCGGAGACAAAAACCCCAGAGGAGGGTAAACCTCTCACGAACGGGGAGAGTAGACTTCTACTAATTAGCTTCACAAACAATATGGTCTACATTACAGGGTGAAAGCGTGAGCGAAGCCTCTCAATAAAATATTAATAATATGATTTAAATTCGTCTTTTAACAACAATCCAACCTAAGAACGACTATTAAATATAAGCTTATTGACACTGATAGAAAACATCCTATGCAGATAACCCTTAAACAGACTGAGCAAGCATTCTGAATCTATTTCTTTATTCAAAATACAATGCACAGTGTTAAGTCCGGACAAAACTAGGCATAACTTGCCAGAAGAAAAATCCGCCCACTGAGTCACCGACTACAAGAAAATCTCAATTAAAAAGCCTACTTACGGGCAAACTAGATTATGGCTATCCTAATACATTTTAAAACTCCCAACAATTAGATACAAAAAACCCACATAAATGACGTCTTACGAGCCCGTAAAAATTCAGGAACTACTTCCTCGACAGTGAATCAGAAACCACTCGTAAGTAAAATGCCGAGTTACCAGCTTCAGCCACCTCACTTCTTCACTTCTTCGTAATCTGCCTCAGGAGCTTGGTCTCCTCCACCCTGTGATCCACCAGAAGAAGGGTCGCCACCAGAACCCTTTGACATGTGTTCCCCAATCTTAGAAACAGCTTTGTTTGCAGCTTCAAGCTTGGCCTTGATTTCATCGGCATTGTCCTCTCCCATTGCCTTCCTCAAATCTGCTACCGCATCCTCAATTTCTTTGGCAACTTCACTTGGAACCTTGTCACGATACTCGTTCAAGCTCTTCTCAATACTGTAGATGGTTGTATCTGCACTATTTCTGACGTCAATCAATGCTTTCCTCTCCTGATCCTTCTGAGCATGCAGCTCCGCTTCCTTCACCATCTTTTCAATCTCCTCGTCGCTAAGGCCCCCAGATGAGCGGATGGTAATCTGCTGCTCTTTGTTGGTGGCCTTGTCCTTGGCAGAAACAGTGACAATACCGTTGGCATCAATATCAAAGGTGACCTCAATCTGAGGCAGGCCTCTTGGTGCTGGAGGAATTCCTACGAGTTCAAACTCTCCCAGCATCTTGTTGTCAGAAGCCATCTCACGCTCTCCTTGTAGCACCTTGATACCCACTTGGGTTTGGTTGTCAGCTGCAGTAGAAAACACCTGCAATGATACAAATACAAATTAGGAACACAAGATGCACAACAAAAGGAAAGAATCCGACACTTGGCCATAATATTTAGTCAGATCAAACTCTTAAGGCCGACGGAGACAAGGTTAAAACACATGACACCAATCCAGCCGTATTAATTCTAATTAGAAAAGATGCAATTAACTCTAACTAGAAGATATTAACAAATAAAATGCTCCCTCCAAAAATTGCCCTTTGACACAACACACCTAGTCAATGTAATCTGAAATATGTTTGGCTCTAACGACTGACCTGACTCTTCTTGGTTGGAATTGTCGTGTTGCGACTGATCAGCCTGGTGAATATTCCACCTAATGTTTCAATACCTAGTGATAAAGGAGTAACATCCAAAAGAAGCAACTCCTTAACATCACCACGAAGGATACCGCCTTGGATGGCAGCTCCCATAGCAACAGCCTCATCAGGGTTCACTCCTTTGCTTGGGCTCTTTCCAAATATTTCTGTAACGACCTCTTGCACTTTGGGAACACGAGTCATCCCTCCAACAAGCAGAACCTCATCCACATCCTTAATGGATGTATTAGCGTCCTTCAAACAGTTCTTACACGGGGCCTTTGTCCTCTCAATCAAGTGATTGACCAGACTTTCAAATTTGGATCTAGTCAATGTGATGTTCAGATGTTTAGCACCCGAAGAATCAGCTGTGATGAAGGGAAGGTTTATCTCAGTTTGAGATGTTGATGAAAGTTCAATCTTAGCCTTCTCAGCTGCCTCCCTAAGCCTCTGCAAGGCGAGCCTATCCTTTGACAAATCAATACCCTCCGTCCTCTTGAATTCACTCACCAAGAAGTCCAACAAAGCATTGTCAAAATCCTCTCCTCCCAAGAATGTGTCGCCATTTGTTGCTTTCACCTAGATAAGACAAAGTTGTTGACAATATTGTCCAAAATGAAGGAAAATAAAAAGATTCAAGTTAATGGGAGTAGCAAACCTCAAAAACACCATTGGATATCTCGAGAATGGATACATCAAATGTTCCCCCACCAAGATCAAACACTGCTATGAGCCCTTCCTTGTTGTTCATTCCATAGGAAAGTGCAGCAGCAGTTGGCTCATTGATGATTCTCTGCACATCTAGACCTGCAATTCTGCCAGCATCCTTGGTTGCTTGTCTCTGTGCATCATTGAAATAAGCTGGAACTGTAATCACAGCTTTTGAGACACTCTTTCCAAGGTAAGCCTCTGCAGTCTCTTTCATTTTTGTTAGAACAAAGGCTCCAATTTGGCTTGGGGAGTACTGCTGTCCGTTGACTTCAACCCAAGCATCTCCATTTGGAGCCTTTACTATCTTGTATGGAACCATCTTCATTTCTTTTTGAGTTTGGGGATCCTCAAAGCGTCTACCAATCAGACGCTTGGTTCCAAAAACTGTGTTTGTGGGGTTGGTAACAGCTTGACGTTTTGCTGGAGTACCAACCAATAGTTCTCCTTTCTGGTTGAAAGCAACTACTGATGGTGTGGTTCGAGCTCCTTCGGAATTCTCAATCACTTTAGGGTTCTATAACAATTTCACACAGTCAGACCTAAACCACGTGTGCAAAAAGTTTAAAAAATAGTAACATTAAAAAGGAACTTGTAAAAAACCCATACCTTTCCTTCCATCACGGCCACACATGAGTTGGTTGTACCCAAGTCAATGCCAATAACATCATTTCCAGCAGGTTTGGAACTATTCATATTACAAAGATACAATTAGAAACAAAATCCAAAGTACGAAAACAAAATGACTAGTAATGTAATGAACTAGGGAATGACCAAAATACCTGAAAGGTCTTGCCAAGCTTGCCCATTTTTGAGCAAGATGGGATGACATAGATGCGCTGTTCAACTGCAAAAACATATATACGTAATCACTGCGATATAGAACTATTAAACCGAACTTGAATTCATCTATATTTATAACTAAGCTTCCTAATCCAACCCATTTCATCAATTAGCTCCAATAATCAGAATAAAAAGGCAAACTGCAACAGGGGAATCGCAGTAATTTATGCAAGATAAAAGAAAAAAACACAAAGCTCTATCAAACGATTGTAATCTGAATTAACAACAAAAACAACAATACGCCACCGCCGTATATAACAGATTAGGAAAAGGTAACTATCATTACCCAATCAAACCGACAAAATAATAAATCAGAAGCCCCAGAAGATCAGATATTGAATTATAAATCATTTACTCGTTCAATTCTATCGAATTACAACAAACAAGTACACCATCAAATCAAGAAATTATACGTGAAGCTGAAAATCTCAAATATTCCAGCCAAAAAACAGATCAAACAGAGAAATGATCGAATTGGCAACTTAAAAAAGGAATCTAAGAAAATGTAAAGAGACGTACGGATCGGTAGGCGCAGAGAGGAGACGATGCGACATCACGTCGGCGCATCGAGCGGAGCAAGGCGGCAGTGGCCATGGCTGGCTAGAACAAAGAGAGAGAGATGGAGAGGTCGACAAAACACGAGAGAGGGTTTTGAGTTAGGGTTTAAGGCTTTTGTTGGGAAGCGAGTGTTGCTTTATGAGGCGGAAAATGAGCGGAGGATGCGTGTGGAAGGTTCTGGATCCTCAACTTACATGAAACGGTGCCGTTGAGGTGTTTTTGTCATTTGTGGTTTTTATTGGCGAAATGACTCAGGTTAAGTGATTTGGTTAATATGTTTGCTACGTTTGCCATCCAGTACTACGTGTTATTTCTTTTTAGTTGAAGAAGAGGGGTTTTTTGGTTGGAATCTTGTAGATGATAAATTTGAAATCAAATTAAGTTGTTCATTAGGTAGTTTTGCCAAACTTCTATTTTTTAATATAAAAATCTTAACGTACTAGAAAAGAAAAAAAAGAAAAACGGTTGCTACGTGGCCAAGGAGGAAGTCTGATCCGACTTTTCCTTTGGTCATGTGACTGCATACTTTAGTGGGAATGGGAAAAGGAAGCTTTCTGGACCTGCAATCCGGATTTTCCAACTAGATGTGCTTTTAGATTTCCAACCTACTTGACATTAGTGTGCTTCGCATTTAAATTTGAATCTTATTCTTCATAGTCGAAATGAATTTTGTGTAATTGTTCGAAAAATTAGGGTTCCATTGTTATATAAATCATGTAGAAAATTCAAGAATTATTATGCAAGTAAATATACAATTGAAAGAATGCACATAACATGATCAACCAATATTAAATAAAACTTGAAAATACAATTCAATCAAGAACTTGATTTTTTTTTTTTTAATTAAGACAAGTTTACGTCCTATTACGGTGTTCATTTTTGTACTGCACTTGTTCTCAAGATATGACATGTCTTTACGATAGTAACATTCCAAATCATAAAGCTTCAGTGAATAATTTTTTTTATTTATTTTTATTTTTTATTTTTAAAGCAACGATAATAGACTATGATTGAGGAAAGTTGGTGAATTGTTCCTTCAAAGTCGTAATGATCTGAAGTGACTCAGACTTGTTAGGACCTGTCCTTGATTTTACAGATTTTAATATTAAAAGTGTGAAATGACCAAAATGCCCTAGAAGCAAGAGTGTTGATGTCATGCCTTGATCCCGACATACGTCCATGATCGATATGTGATGTCACCAAATACCCATATCTCTATCATACCCTGCCTCTAGGATATGGACAAAGCACAACTCGAGATCCAACTGCGTAATAATTTTTCGTATACTTTATGACTACATCTAACCTCCCCGTTAGACGGCCTATGTACCCTAAATAGGGATCAAGCCATTTGTAGTTCATCCTTTCACTACACTCTGGTGTTTATCACAATACGTTCAAGCAGAAAAGCATAGCATTTCTCAATCATTTATTAGAACTTGACAAGCCTGAGATTACTAGGTCTAGAGCTACATAACAAACCCATATGACATTCAAGATTTCCTTTCCATCTATCATATAAATCACTATGTTTTCATCATGGTACCTCAATCCACAACATATAACACATCAAAGAACCAATGAAGCACAATATTATTCTCATGCCACATTAATCTACTAATCTATTCATAATAATAACAATCATATCCAACAACACTCCACAATCACGTCAATAAATCAAATCCATAAATCAAAGATGCAGAATATTAACGTCTAACTACATTAATCAATCAATGAAATAACATATCATTTCACGAATTTAATTAAAGAATTCTACATAAATCCCCACTTGGATTATAAGCAATAACATGGTGAATTCCATTTATATTCACAAGGTCTACTGTGGTTACTCCCATTCACTCGAATCTAGGGTCGTACTAACCTTATGAAAATGAGCAAGAACAAGGATTTCGGACCACTTAACGGAATCCAACTAAAATATGGCACCTACTGAAATGTTCCAAGTACAACCAATCCTCATTACTCCTAGTATGCGTATGGTCCCCCAACGCGGATATACCAAGCAAAAGCATATGCATAGTCTAATAACATAGCCAGTGATCACCTAACGCGGATATACTAACCATGATCACCCCTAACAGTCCCCTAACACGGATATACCAAGCAGGACTGTATCATATAGCTCTACTTGGATATACCAAGCATGATCACTCCTAGAATGCGTATGGTCCCCTTACGCAGATAACCAAATAGAACCATATGTATAGTCTAATAATATAGGCAGTGATCACCCAATGTGGATATACCAAGCATGATCGCCCCTAACAGTCCCCCCATGCAGATATACCAAGCAGGACTGGATCCTATAACTCTACGTAGTGATCAACCAATGCGGATATACTAAGCATGATCACTCTTAGAATGCGTATGGTCCCCCAACGCGGATGTACCAAGCAGAACCATATGCATAGTCTAATAACATAGGCAGTGATCACCCAATGTGGATATACCAAGCATGATCACTCCTAGAATGCGTATGGTCCCCCTTACGCAGATATACCAAACAAAACCATATGCATAGTCTAATAACATAGGCAGTGATCACCCAACGTAGATATACCAAGCATGATCACTCCTAACAGTCCCCCAACGTGGATATATGAAGTAGGATTGTATACTATAACTCTAGGTAGTGATCAACCAACACGGATATACCAAGCATGATCACTCCTAGAATGTGTATGGTCCCTCAACGCGGATATACCAAGCAGAACCATATGCATAGTCTAATAACATAGGCATTGATGACCCAACACGGATATACCAAGCATGATCACTCCTAGAATGCGTATGGTCCCCCAACGCAGATATACCAAGCAGGACCATCCATGTACCGTTGCTACATGGTGCAATAATTTCAACACACAACCTACCCACAACTTAACCCTTATGAGTTACAACATAGTCACCTACACCATCAACTTCTCATAGCCACCACTAATATGCCACACAAGCATATAAGTTCCACAGAATACTTCCAATAGGATTCTAGGATCACATTGTCATAACATTTATCATACTTATCATTCACATTATTAAGAAGATAAATACACACATATATATCACAATATGACGTCCCATACACAAACCGATGTATATATTATCTTGGATAACTTACAAACCAATATAGGCCCACTAAGCCCTACACGGTCTCTAGTAATACTGATTTTAATATTTAAGATCAACTCATAACATATTGACCAAAAGTCAAGTCTCTGTCAATTGTGGGGTCCACAACCCTATACAAGTCAATCTGCAACATTCGCCCATAGATTTCCGATCCGTAACTTCCCAAGGGTCTCATTAATCTTCTAAAATAATATTCTAAAATTTCAAAATGATCTAACGGTCGGATCTCTGCCAATTGCTAGAATTAGGTTGCCATCAACGTTTGATTTTACAAACTTAGAATTTCAATTTGGGAAGATCCGTATATCGGATTCCTAATCCGTCAGTTCCTATGGCCCTCAAATATTACATACTATTACATATTTAAGTTTGGTGCCAATCCAACGGTCGGATTGTCAATTCATATAATGACCCTTGTGGTGGCCAACTACGAAATTATATTAAAACATCAGAATTTCACTAAATGGATGTCAAATATGGAATAAGGGAATCAAAACTAGCCTAGGATGGTCAAGTAGGGTCTTGGCCCATGCGCTGCTGGCCGCCCCGACTCGTCAGAAAATTCAACTATTTCCAAAAATTACCAAATTTCACAAAAATGTAGATCTTGATAAGTGGAGCAAGTTTCACACCTTTGAGTAAGCACAATTTGCCTGGAAGAAGCCTCAAATCGCCACGAACCCACAGGAAACCCTAGAAATGGGTGGCTTCGATTCAACTTCTCCGGTGCTCCGCCGCCTCCAAGGTTGTTTGGGCTTTGTTCCTGGCCTCAAGGAGAGTCTAATGGTTGTGGAGATTGACGTTATTACATTCAAAAATGCCCGATCGCCGGCGTGGTACCACCATACCCACCGGTGCGGTTCTTTGTGAACTTGAGCCAAATTTTGTCAATTTTTGGGTGAGATTAGTAGAGGGAAGGTTGTGGAATATTTTCCAAGTGGTTAGATAACGTGGTTCGCTGGAAAAACCGATGAAAAATCGCCAGAGGTGATGGATAGGACTAGGTCGGGTTGGGTTGAAAAAGGGAAATAGACCGAAGGGGGGTCCGAGTTCCCTTCATTCTCTCTTCCCTCATTTCCCTCATTTTCCTCCCTTTTTTCCTTTCCTTCTGATTGGGCACTCTCCCGCTTCTCTTATTTTCCCCCTCTCTTGCTGCTATCTGGCAACCTCCAATCTTTTCGCTACTTTTTTTTTTTTTTTAATAACAATTAAAATGCCTCTAATTCCTTTGTTTCAACTCCGATTCGCGAACAGTTTTCGCCTACACGTTCTTAGAGTCGAGCTCAATCCAATTATACTTAGTGTGACCCCGTAAGTCTACAAATTTGTAATGGTTATTGACCAAATTTCAAACTTCGTAATTAGTTTAATTAAAATCTAAATTTAATTTAAATTCCCAAAAATAATATAAAATCCCCTTAATATAAATACGTAGTTTGCAATAATGAAATCCAGGAACCGGATTTCATAATTAACTTTCGTTGACCATCATGTAGTGACACTTTTGACCCATTCGTTTAGTATATTATGGTGGTATTTGTCACTACAAACATGTGGGCGCAAGCGGAATCGAATTCAGAGTTACGATAAACATTTTACGGAATTACGAAGTTGAGGGGCAAAGTAGTTAATTCACTATTCTAGATATTATGGTTGGATATTTGTATTATTTTAATAATTTTTTGGTGGGTTTTTGTGGCCCGCGGGGCCCGCACCCCACTTCCCCTTCTTCTCCGTGTCTTTCTCTCCCCCAATACTCTTGGACTCTCTCGAACTCTCTCCCCTCACTATCTTTCTCACTCTTTCGAACTTCTTCTTCTTCCTTGTCGAGCCGAAGCCCAAAAGGCCACTAACTCGCCATCCTCTCTGGCGAGCACCGTAAACCACCACGACTATATGTGGGCCTTCTCTCTCCCTCTCGTGACTCTCGTTCTCTCCCTTATCTCTTTCTTTCTCTTTTCACTCCCAAAC